AAAAAAAAAAGACTGACCACAGACTTTTTAATGGTAGTGTATATGTTCAAAAGGGAAATATAATTGTGAGCTTGTTTACTGCCTTTACTGTAGAACTCCATTGTATAGTTTCGCTTACCACGCAAAGCTCCCCATGCATTAGCAGCTTTCAGCACAGCAGAGGGTTCATCAACTGACAGCTCATCTACACAAAGAGAGCACAACTTTACACAATTCACAGACAACCAAAACATTCACTGGCTCAAGCCCACACAGTTGAGTTTAATCTCAACACTGACTGACTTTCATAATGCAGTTTCCATGAAATATTAAGCAGAAAAGCGTTTATAAATTGCTTTGCACGAGTCAAATGTTACTACATCTAAAAAGAGCTCTAGGATCACGTTAATACGTTAACCCGATTACACCTCCGAGAGGCAGATGTCAATTATTGGATTTGCCGATCGTTCATTGGATTAGAGATCACTGAGGTTACGGCGCGTGGAGCACAGAGGCGGAAGGGAAAAGAGCTCACATGACTCGTCGGTTTGCAGACTCGGGTAACCGTCGCACTCCGGATCAGCTGATGTGATCCATACCTGAAGCTCCACGAGATCTGAATCATACACTTTCTTTCGGCTCTTCTCGTGCTTCTTCAGGTCACCAAACACGTATTCAAAATATCTGCAAAGCAAAGGTCAGTTGAAGCCAAGTGCTGTATATTTGGCACGGAGCACACAGCGCTTATGAATCATACTTTACTGACACTGTAACGTACTTCCTGTTAAAGCTAAACATTGGCGTCTTTTATAACACAATATCGGCACAAATATGAATAAGGTATTGTACAGTTAAGTTACCTGCGAAACGCATTCTCGAGTATGCTGCAGCTCGGTCCGGCGGTGGACTGTTTCGCGTGGACGATCTGAAAGCTGGCGGGGCTGAGTTTAAAAGCGACGGCGGACGACTGAAATTTCTGCGGTAGAGGCCAGAGAGAGATTTCATTCAGCTCCTTCTGTTTTCCCACAAAGTCGCCGAAGAGCCAGCCATGGCAGACGGCTACCGCCAAAATCAGCGGCGCACATTTGAGCAGGCAGTGCATGTCTGT